GCACTCGCCATTCCGGAACTGTATCCTGCTTAGTAACAACGGCACAGGACCTGTTAAGATCTGTTATGCTGGGGGGGGGGGGGGTTGTAATTCTTCTTCATACTGGTGATCTTTTTCTTCTGCTTTTTTTTTTTCTTTCTTTTTTTTTCTATCTCTTCTCTTTTTTTTTCTTATTGAAGAGAGGGAGAGGGGAGGGGAGGGGAGGGGAGGGGAGGGGGGAGGGGAGGGGAGGGAGAGGGAAAGAGAGGGGAGGGAGGAACATGAGTCAGGCTCGGCAGGGGAGGGTAATGATTTTTTTTTCCCCCTAGGAAAAAGGGGGGGGTATGTGAATCATATATCTGCTTTGAGAAGTAATCCATAATCCATTGTATTCCATTAAAGCTTTCTATTCGTTATCTACATAGAGCTCATTTTTACTGACAATGGCTACTGCTGGACTTTTAGAGATATGCATCAGATGCCGCAAACAGTTACCCAAATAAATGTAGAAGATCCTCACCCCTCAAAGGCAAGTGTCCAAGCTTCTTAAACAAGTGAGTGACTAATTAACATACACCACCACAAAATAACACAATGTGTGAAATTTCGAATACAATCTTCAGTGACAGGATGTTCAGTTTTTCATACACATATACCCATAAATATGCACAATCAAGCTCAATCAAACACATATGTACTAAGATATTCTTGGCCATCAACTCACAAAGATATACAAACAAACAAACACAAAAAAAAGAAGAAAAAAGCGAATAAGTTGCACAGCACTAAATGAAAAAAAAAAAAAAAACACAAGAAAATGACAAACAAGATGCAATTACACATTTCCAGACTAATCAGAACCAATTAGTCAAAATCAAACCATATGACACTTGTCAAGCACATAATGCTACTGATTATCAGGATCCAACTCTATATTCCACTCAAAACAGAGAGGAAGAAAGACAAATTCTAATTCTAATATCCTCATTAATTTTCCATATGCTATTATAATTTAACCGTGTAGTGAACATGTTCTATAAAAAAAAAATACAATATCATTAGGCCAAATTCACCCGGCATCCAAGAATATCCGTCGGGAACAATAACAATGCTCTTCAAATCTTGCAACTCCCGTAACAATCACTGCTTGTTAATGAACCAAAATAGTTTCTTTTCAGACTCATTTTTCTATTTTCAGAAGCTAAAGCAAAAGAAAACCAAAATGCAGGACAAACGCCAAAATTACAAAACTCGAGCTACAAACATCCGCAAGCATTAAAAGCATTTTTCTCTGCCCACCTTGAAGAAAATCAATTACATGATAATGAAAACATTAGGGTAACATATTCTACCTCTAATCTAACTGAAACAACAATAACAAGACCTTAATTTCCCACGAGAACAGAAAATAACACAAGAACTTCATTTTTCTACCACCTGTTCATATCCCTCCCCCATACACCGTGAGTCAGTTTCACCTCGTATTAAGAAGACAATTATCAGTATCTCGGCATCGGCAATTTTTTCCAATCCTTTCAATTCCCGATTGTGTCACATTCACGTCACATTAATAATCGGTTGGAGTACAGGTGATAATATAGGCCTATCTATTCTGATAATTTGAATAATACTTGAATACTTGACATTTCAGGATCCCAACCAAGTGTCATAAACATATCGGAAATAAGGGCAAAATTAAATTCCATTATTGACAACAATATTGAAGAAAACACCAATAAAAAACAATGAAATTATGAAAAATAAAACACAACAGGGCTGATTCACACACCCACCAAAAATACTGGGTGGATATTTCATCATTTCTAATCTCCCATTTCCCAATTAACGATGGTGATGATAATCCTCCAAACAGCAAATTAGAAAGACGAATAATAAGTACAAAAAAATAAAACAGACAAATCCAAAAATCTATCCAACAGAAACCCGAGAAAAAACACGGGAGGAAAAAAAAAACCATGTGTACAGTTTAAAACAAGTCACACCTCCAACTCCCTGTTAAACCGAGGACATAGGTGATAAAACCGAGGGGAAAATCGCCCAAATCCCGTGGTTCGAGGACCTTTTCGACCTCGGGGGGGGGAAATACATATTTATTCCCCATCATTGAAAACGCCTGATCCTTTGCCTTCCTTAACCACTAGCGTTATCTCGACCCTTTAAACCTCTCTCCCCGCCCTCAACCTCACCGTGGGCGTACCAGCCACACGCCCACCCACGCCTACTGTCACGAGTCACCTACCTGACGCAGGAGGACTGACATTAGACGTAAAAAAACGCAAAATTCACTTGACGTTGCAGACGGCTTTGCACTCACAGCTGAGCCGCCACTAGACTGAGGCCCGCTGCCGGAGTCGCCAGGCCGCTATTCATTTCCGCTTTTTTCCCGCCTCGCCCGGGGCCCTGCGGCTCTCGGAAGCACGTCCTCCGCTCCGGACGGAACTCCCGCCCCGACCCAAACGGCCAGGCGGTCAAATGAAGGAGTAAAATCACCGCAAGCCCG